TCAGCCTGGTGCCACCGCTGTGCCATCACCCCAGGGAGCTCACTGGATGGCTTTCTCCACAAATAAAGGGGGCGAGTGGGAGCAGCTGATGGCTCCAGGCCCTTTCCATGCCAGCATGAGCCTGGGAAAGATGATGCCTGCTCTCATACTGAAGGGGGGAAAACTCAAGTATCACCCCAAAAAGCCATGCTGTGCTGCCCAGGAGGTATCCTAGGAGACAGGGCTTCCCCAGGTCACCAGGACACACGTGGGTGCAGCTGCCCCTGTCTCCTCCCGGCCACAAATTATTTTAGGGCTGGGCAGAGTTGGGGAGGAAAGCAAACGGCTGCGGGCAGGTTAGACCCGTTCCTGGGTAAACATGGGAGAGGCACCGATGCCATCATTGATGCCACCACCACTGCCAGTGTGCCTAAGCAGGAGTGGGAACGTGCAGAAGGTGGCCCCAGCACAATCTGGGGGGACTGCACCCCAGCCCAGCTGTTTCTGGTCGTTGGTGGCCCTGTGGGGCTGGGTGTGACAAGGCTGGTTTTGGGGGGGACTTGGTGATGGCTGGGGGAGCTAAACCAGCCCCCAGGGCCTCCCCCAAATGCAGGAGTTATGGGGGGTGTGTGGACAGCCCCAGGAGGATGCCAGTGCAGTCCCAGGCTGCCGACAAGGTGCTCGCTTGCTTTCCTCGCCCACCATGAGCTCACCCCCCTCCCCCAGCCTGGGGTGATAAGGATCTCCCCCTTCCTGAGGCAGGGCAACCCCACACAATGGTGTGAACCACGGCCCTGCTGGGATGGGCATTGTTCAGAGGCAGTGGAACGGGAAAGAAAAAGAATAATAATAACCATTAAAGCCCCTAAATAGCTGTGCAGAGCCAGGTGGTGACTTCATCACTCCTCCCTCTGTGTATGTGTGTTTGTGCTGTACGAGCAGAGCACCATGGCTTGCAGCGGTGCCTTTGATGGGAGCAAAGTCTGGCAGTGCTGCCCTGTCCCACGGTGCACCCATGGGGATGAGCCGAGGCTCCCAACCCTCTTCCCCAGCTGTGTGTCCCACCTCTCCTTAAAACTCAGGGCGGGGGAGCTGTGGTGGGGCTGGCGGGCTGGGGCACGTCCTGCAAGGAGGGGAGTGGAGCTGGTAGCACCAATTTATGGGCCAGACTGGAGCCAAGCATGTGGATTTGGTTAATCACAGGCCCGGGGGACACAGGAGAACGATAAGCAACAAGTAGAGACAAGGAGGGACATGGGTGTAAAGCCAGAAATAAGAGATTAAGAAATAAGTCTGACTCCTCAGGGTCTGGATTTCATAGCTCTGAAGTGCCTGCAATGAGCCACACCACTGAAACACCTGGGCCCCATTGCCTCCAAGTGACTCCCTGTGCTCGGCAGTGCTCTGCTGGGCTGCCCATCCTGGGTCCTGGGGCCTCTGCTCCCTGCGGGACACAGTGCTGGGGTGAGCTGCAGCAGAGGCTGGAGATGATACTG